CCCGGGGCCGCAGTGCAGACTGCGTGGGTTGGTTCCTCCACGGAACAGGGAAAGCATTTGCTCGAAAGCCCCTGACAGTCTTGCTCATGGGTGAGAGCCGCTGGGTCCCTGGGAGTCCAGCTGGTCCTTTTTCCTCGGGGATAATTTTAGGTTCTCTTGTCCTCTTCCAACCTTTCTGACTCCCAGCCCCTGGTTCAGCCTCCCAGAGGGATTGCCTAGACCAGCGACTATACAGTGAGCTTTTGAAACGTGGAGCTGTTCAAAAGAACATGCCAGGGGGTCACCCTGGAGGCATTTTCCACTGTACTTTTTTTTTTTTTCCTGTCTTGTTCCATTGTTTCAGGGGAGGAAGCAAGACAGCTCAAGGGTCCGGTCCTGACGGGCTTTCAGCATCTCTGGGATTACACGTGCAGGCCATCACTCTAGGTGTCTTTACCAGACCTGGGAATCATCGAACTCAGATCCTTCTGTTCGCAAGGCAAGCACTTCAGTGACTGAGCCACCTCCCTAACCTCCAGAGGCTTATTTCTAAGCCTTTCATCCCTACTCCTGGTTTGGAAGGAAACGTTTTAAAAACTGGGAGCCTGAAAGGCAGAGTTAGGCCCTGTAAGTCTGAATGAGGGGAGAGAGGGAGGCGCTGGTCTTCTGGTAAGGGAAAGTACTGTATAAGAGGCTTCAGAGGTGTTCAATCCCAAGCTTATCCTTCTACACACTCCAGCAATGCAGTGTAAGGGTCTAGGAGGATGGTTCAGTAGGTTGAGAGCGCTTGTTCTGCAAGCCTGAGGGCCTGAGTTCAAATCCCAGCACCCAAGGAGAGAGTCGAGCATGCTTGCACATGCCCATAATCAAACCCTGGGAGGCAGAGACAGACGGAATCCTAAAAGCTCAAGATCAGCCGTCCTAGCCAAACAAAAGCTTTCTGGCCCAGTCAGAGACGCTACCTCAAGGTAATAAAGTGGAAAATAGAGGAAGACACGTGACGTACCCACACCTTCACATGCACACAGAGGAATTCCTCAATTCTTCTTAGGAATAAATCTCCAAGAAAACTCTTCACCATGAGGAAGGTGACCAAAAAAGTGCTTTTTTTTTTATTTCCTCAAGCTGCGGTGACCCCAACTGTTACTATTTTGTAACTGTAATTTTGCTGCAGTTATGAATCAGCATGTAAATATCTGCTATGTAGCCCCTGTGGGGTCGCAACCCACAGGCTAAGAACACTAGACAAACTTTAGCCTCAAACTCAGTCTCTCTCTCTCCATTTCTCTGTCTCTGTCTCTCTCAATGCTGAGTCTCAGACATGCCAAGGATGCGCCCTACCACTGATCTACACCCCCAACTCCCATTGGTTTTTCAAGACAGGGTTTCTCTGTAGCTTTGGTGCCTGTCCTGCAACTAGCTTTTGTAGCCCAGGCTGACCTCGAACTCACAGAGATCCGCCTGCCTCTGCCTCCCGATGCTGGGATTAAGGGCCTGTGCCACCACTGCCCCACCCATCCTTCACTTTTGATGTGTCTTTATTACTTAAGAATTTGAAGGGGCTTATCTAGAAATCTTCTAGGAGAAATGGGGGGGGGGAGGCAGTGCAGGAGGAAGATGGAAACCAGAAGCCCTCAACATCCCAAGCCTCAGGGTGCCAAGTCAAATAAAAGTGACACCTGAAAGGAGTTGAGGTGATGTCCCAGTAACTGAAGAAAAGAAAAAGAACTAAAAAAGTGTGGTCTGGAACAGGAGAGCAAAACTGGCGGAAAGGGGAGGGGACAGATCCCATCGGCTGGGAGAGAAAAGGACATGGCCTACTTGCTATTGCTTCAGATACAAGACAAGAGTTGGGAGCAGTGGCACATGGAATTGTAATCTCAGCACTGGGGAGGTAGAGGCAGAAGGATCTAGAGATCTGGACCATTCTGAGCAACATATGGAGAGCCTATCTCAAACAATAAGATACCTTAGGATTGTTGTATTGGGAGAGAGTCATCGTCCCTGTTGGGCAAAGGGTAAGGTGGCTCTCCCTTCCTTTCCAGGGTTGCTGCAGGCCTTGCTAGGAAAGAGCTGCCTAGCTCCAGGAAACTGGTGCTGAGGGAGTGCCATGACAGGCTGTCCCTCCCTACCCTCCAATTCCCACCAGAGGCCTCTCCTCTCCTGACTATTGGACACTGCGCCTTTAAAAGCAGCCACTCCTCCTGGGATCTAGGGTGTGGGGGGTGAGATGGAGGGAAGCTGACAGACTTACCCCAACAACTTAGGGAAGATGGCCCAGCCAGGAGGAGTCGCTCCCAAATTCTATTGTCCCCTTCCCTGAGCCAGGGGGTAAGGGAGAACTTTCCCACCCCAGGCGCGACAGGAGATGGCTCCGTGGCCTCACAAGAACGGCTCGCTGGCTTTGTGGTCAGATGTCCCCACGTTGGACCCCAGTGCAGCCAACACGAGTGGGTTGCCAGGGGTGCCATGGGCAGCGGCATTGGCTGGGACGTTGTTGGCGCTGGCCACGGTGGGAGGCAACCTGCTGGTAATCATAGCCATAGCCCGCACGCCGAGACTCCAGACCATAACCAACGTGTTCGTGACTTCGCTGGCCACAGCTGACTTGGTAGTGGGACTCCTCGTAATGCCACCGGGGGCCACTTTGGCGCTGACTGGCCATTGGCCCTTGGGTGCAACTGGATGCGAACTGTGGACGTCGGTGGACGTGCTCTGTGTAACTGCCAGCATCGAGACCCTGTGCGCCCTAGCTGTGGACCGCTACCTAGCTGTCACCAACCCTCTGCGTTATGGCACACTGGTTACCAAGCGCCGAGCTCGGGCGGCGGTGGTCCTGGTGTGGGTCGTGTCCGCTACCGTGTCCTTTGCGCCCATCATGAGCCAGTGGTGGCGCGTAGGGGCTGACGCCGAGGCTCAGGAGTGCCACTCCGATCCGCGATGCTGTTCCTTCGCCTCCAACATGCCCTACGCGCTGCTCTCCTCCTCCGTCTCCTTCTACCTTCCTCTCCTGGTGATGCTCTTCGTCTATGCGCGAGTGTTTGTCGTGGCTAAGCGTCAACGGCGTTTACTGCGCCGGGAGCTGGGCCGTTTCCCGCCGGAGGAGTCTCCGCGGGCTCCGTCGCGCTCTCCGTCCCCTGTCACAGGCGGGACAGGCTTGGCTCCGGATGGAGTGCCCTCCTGCGGCCGGCGGCCGGCGCGACTCCTGCCGCTCCGGGAACACCGCGCCCTGCGCACCTTAGGTCTCATTATGGGCATCTTCACTCTGTGCTGGCTGCCCTTCTTCCTGGCTAACGTACTGCGCGCCCTCGCCGGGCCCTCTTTGGTTCCCAACGGGGTTTTCATCGCCCTCAACTGGCTAGGTTATGCCAACTCCGCCTTCAACCCGCTCATCTACTGCCGCAGCCCGGACTTCCGCGACGCTTTCCGCCGTCTTCTGTGCGGTTGCGGTGGCCGCGGGCGGGAGGAGCCACGCGCTGTCACCTTCCCAGCCAGTCCGGCGGGAGCCACAGCGGCTCGGGCCAGCTCAGCCGAGTCCAGGCAGAGCCGGCCGCTCAACAGGTAGGGGACACAGGCAGAGAAGCGGGGTCTCCAGGTGGGGACACCTTCTGTCTCCGCTTTTGAGTTTGGGGCTTGGGGGCAGGGGTGGATAGGGCCTTTTGCCTAGAAAAGACAGAAAGGGAGTAGGAACTAAAATGGAATTTAGGGTCCTTTCCTTTCTTGGATGTCTGGGACAGAGGCAAAGGGGAGGACTGTTTGCTCACCCTAAGACCAGGTGAGCCCCACAAACAATTGCTGCTCTGCCAGCAGGTTTCTAAACTCCCTGGTCGCCTCGAGTTTAGGTTTTCTAGGTCCATTCTTCAGCCGCCCAAGTTCTACACCTGGCTAGGGCTATCGTAGATAACTGTGGAGCTCCCAACCCCTCGCTCTCAGCTCCAGTTTCCCTTAAAGGTTTGGCGGCTATGGAGGTGAGCGGCCATTTCCCCCATGAAGGATCACCGAGATCCAGCAAGTAACCTGTGAGTTGAAATTTGAACTGTATCCCTCCCTCAGGGACTGGGTTGGAGCTGTAGGGTGGGACTGGGAAGGCGGGTGCTGAGTGGTCCTCATACCTTTGGAAAGTAAAAATGCTTTTCAGGGTTCCTGAGTCACTGCCCCCCCCAGCACTTGGTTCCCGCCTCCTTGACCAGTTACCCTAAGACATATTATCCCCATTTTGCAGGACTTCTGGGAGTTTCCGTGTTTCTCTTGTGGGGGGAGGGGTTGTTTTGTTTTGCTTTTGCCAGAAAAACAAGAAACGACTCCATGGATGTAGAATTTTGATAACGCCCCTAATTTCTACTCAGAGTGAGTCCCCAGGCTGGAAACCTCATCTCTCGGGAGCCTCCTAACTAGACTGCAAGATGCCCTGCGAAAGGGAACTCTTACCAAGTGGGTTTCACCGGAAGACCCACCTTGCACTTCACTACTACCTCAGCAGCCGGGATGTCACGCCACCTGGGCCCGTTTGCCCTGGGCTTTGAAGGGATGCCCATCACCCTGCTTGTGTGGTGTGTGTGTGTGTGTGTGTGTGTGTGTGTGTGTGTGTGTACTCTGTGCTTAGGGCAAAGAAAGCACCCCTACCTACCTCCCTTCTTTCTGCTTTCCTGACCCCAGTAAGCGGCTTGTGATTCTGTGTCTCTGGTTGGTTTGAGGGCAGGAAGCCAGCGAAAAAAAACAACCAAGTTTGAGGTTTAGACCCATGGCTCTCTCAGACCATATCTTGCGTTCCGCACAAACCAGCTCTGATCTACCTCACAGTCGGGACATCAAGGTTTGGGGGGATTCCAGGATTCATGGAACGTGAACCGCTGGAATGGCTCCCTTTTCCATTTAAAATCAAATTAATAAATATTACTGAATGTGACTTGTCCTTTTGTTCTCTTCAAATGTTTCTCTCCATTTGTTTTCTTTTCATAATCCCCTTGCTGGCTTCCCCGGCTCAGAGCTGCCTTTTGTCAGGGGCAGTAAATTAGGAGTAATCCTTGCCCCTTTCTTCCTAATCCTTGTCAGACAAAACCAAAAAGGCTGTCTGTGTCAATGGGACTGGTGAGTCTTTGATTCTCTTTCCTCCCTGCCCTTCCTGCAACTCTGGGGATCTAGTTACAGAGGCAATGTAGTCACCCATGACTCAGCTGTCTTTCTAGACCAGGGGGCTTGCTGTACCCAGGACCAAGACTAGGACTCTCCCATACCACAAACCAGAGTGGGTTAATAAGGTCTCATTGACATCAGCAAACACTTTGGTTCTGTGCTTTCTGTGTCTGTGTATCTGGAAGCACAGGGCACTGGTTTAGGAAGGGGCAATACATCTTGTGTTATATTAATAGATGTGTGTATACACACACACGTGCGCGCGCGCGCACACACACACACACACACACACACACACGTGTTTCTGTACTGCCTATCTTTCCACTTCCTTCCTGGTTTGAAGACATTATTACCCTCCAGAAGCGAAACTGGAGTTATGACTGTCTGTTCATATGACTTTTTTCCTCATTTCCGTTATTTTTTTTTTCATTCTTCTCTGACATGTTTCTCACGGAAAAAGAAGCTGTATGGAAGCCACTGGAGTGTTGTGCGGGCTCCTCTTTAACTCCAGGAGCAGAGGCCGTGAGCAGGCGGAGTGAGAGTCAGGAAGGCCAGTTAATCAGCTAATGTGTAATGTCTAATGTAATGTCTAATGTTTGTAGTGTGCCTGTGGCAGAATTTGCTGTGCTCTGGCTGGGCTTGGGGGCCCCAGAGGTACAGAACCTCACATCGCCCACGCGACCGTGCTACATGCATTTCCACATATGGGTGTTCTCTGCGAACTGGACCTAGTCTATGCAGCTCCCTTTTCTCCTGGAGCTCAGGTTTTATTTCTCAAGCTGTTTGCATACCAAAGATGACTTTCTCCCTTCCAAACCAATGCAGTGCGCACTCTCTGGTGTCTGAACGTAGACGGTTTCTTGGCAGGGAGTCTGCTCTTGAACTATGGCCCTCGGTATGGAAGTCTTGGTTGAGCCTGGGGATCAGAGGGCCTCTTCTCTGGATCTCTGGATATTTTCCCAACATCGCTGAGGGAAGTTGCCCAGGCAAAGGAGAGGGTAACTTTGGGGGAGAGGGGCCTTTGGTTTATAGAATTGTCCTTGAAGACTGTCCAGGAGCCCATACTGCTTGGGTCTTGCTGGACACATACCGGTGTGCCGACTCTCAGCCTCCTTTGGAGTGTTTAGACTTGAACGAAGCTGTGGATTCCATCTGCAGATTGTCACCAGTGGATCTGACAGCTGAAGAGACAGCCTTTCTAGTCCCTTCTCCAGCCAGGTGTCAAACTGGAGGAGATTTACATCCTTGAATGGGAGGCAAACTGCTTTTGCAGAGGATGAAGCCTGAGCGCTTGAACTGGGGAAGACAAACGACCATGCTTTGAACCAAAAGATGTGAAGACTCAAAGACCAGTGGGAAATGGAGAGTTCTAGAAGCCCCGACCAAGAGTCCGGAAGTAGGAGAGTGTAGGGGGCTGAAATGACAAAGAAAGGGGGTTTGAGTTGAACAGATGAGCTCTTGGGTGAAACTGCAAAGGAACAAGCTGAATTGGAGAAAGGAGGGCATTGTTAACTAGCTTTTCTGGAACTCTTCCATGGTGGACTCTTCTAGGTGCTGATGGGTACGTGTAGGCTGTGTGCTTCATGGGCAGTTACTAGACTAATTCCATACCGACTTCATTCCCCAAACTGCAGAGTAGAGACTTCTCCTAACCAAAGAAAGTAAACCCTTTGGCGGGAAAGCGATGGGGGTCTGGCATTGTCTCTTTCTGAGGGTCTAGGACAGGCTCCCAAAGCTACAGAGAAAACCTGTCTTGAAAAACAAAAATAAACAAAAACTGTACATGGTGATGCACATCTGTAATCTCAGCACTGAGGAGGCAGAGGCAGGAGGAGGGTCTGGAGTTCAAAGTCATCCTTCTGACACATAGCGAGTTGGAGACCAGTCTAGGATGCCTAAAACCCTGTCTCAAAATAAGCGTATATATGAGTAGTGAGTTACGTAGTCAAAATTTTTTCAATCAAACAAGCTTCAGAGCCAGGGGAAAAAAACAGTAAAGGTGCATGTCACACACTATGTTAACAAATGACAAAAAAATAAGATAGAATAAAGAATTTTTTAAAATGCAGCCACACAGAAATCACATAGTGTCTGGGGCTGATCCTACTCAATGTTCTCTCTCTCTCTCTCTCTCTCTCTCTCTCTCTCTCTTTAGTTAAATTTCTTTATTTTTAGGTTTGGAGGTTTAAAATGTTTTCATTCTTTGAAAATGCCACCCATGTATATGATGGGTCCTTTTCATCCCCCACTGTTCTCCCTCACCCCTCCCATACCCACCAAACTCCCTTCTCTTCAGTAATGCTCCCTTTAACGTCCATTTCTTTGATTGTCTGTCAGCTTTGAGGGGGGAATTTGCGACTCACTGAATTTAAATGAGTTCCTGGAATGAGCATGGGTGGGAGATTATATCGGCAAATTCTCAGTGGCTGAAGAAAATCGCCCTGCCTCCCCAAGCAACACTAACCACCAGTCCTTCTTCAGAGAGGGTGGGACCTCCCTCATTAACCCCTCCTCCCTCCACGATGGATTCTTTTTTATTATTTTACTTTTGATATTATAATTCAGTTACAACATTTCTCCCTACCCTTTCCTCCTTCCACAGCCTCCCACATATTTCTCTCCACTTTCCTTCAAATTCATGGTCTCTTTTTTCATTCATTGTTACTGCATGCATATGTATATATTGTATACATATATATTCCTAAGTAATCCTGTTCAGTTTGGATAATGTGACTTGTATGTGTGTCTTCAGGGCTGACCATGCGGCACTGGGCAACCAATTGATGTGCTCTTCCCCAGAGAAGGCCACCTCACTGGTCCCCAGCTTTCCTCAGTTGCTAAGACTATTGAGGGATTCTCTTCTCCCATCAGCCTGCATAACACCTTCTGGTACTAGAAAATGTAGCCAGCAGGAAGGAGCTCAGTCCCAGCTCAATTTCTCTATGTTCTGCAACCAAAGAAGGTCATGTCTTCAGCAATAGGATCTAATCATCTAGTTCTTGTGAGCAAACAAAGCAATAGCAATGGCCTATATTGTCTGGGGGACTCAAGACCTCCTTGACTAACAACACAAAATTCCCTTTATCTTCTCTACACGTACTGCCAAGAGTGTGTGAAGTCACACATTGCTCTTCAGCCATTTGCTTACATATGATTCAAACGGAAATGCTACCTCTGCGTTCAGCCCATGCAGATTAGTTTGGAAGAGCAAACAAGATCCTACACACGGTGAAAGCAGTTTGGAAACAGAAGGGGCTGCTCCAGCATAACGCTGCGGAATGAGACTGGAGCTAGAACAAGTACCTGGCCTACTGATTTACATTCCCATAGCCCTGCTTGTTTTGCGGGGCTTGTCTTTGGTCACTATGAGATGCCCTGCCTGTTCTTCTGAGAGTCAGACCCATCTCAGATTAATTTCCTTGACTTTATAGATCCTCCACTAGGGGTCGCCCTTTACTCTCACCGTGTTCAGACTCTGGTCTGGCCTTGGCCTGGCTTTTGGTCTTGGTCATATCTCCTTTCATTACATACAGCTTTGTCAATAAGATAAATGGGATAGGTAGAAGATATAGAGAGAGCAAAAAGCATCTAATGTCAGGACCTAGCGGTCCCTTACAGTGGATGCCCATCTCCTCCTGGTTTCCTCTTTCTCATTGTCCCCTTTCTGTTTTAATGTCTGAGTTAAAATTCATTTATTGATTTATTTTATCTGTATGGGTGTTTCTCCTGCATGTATATCTATGCGCTGCATGCATGCTTGGTACTGGAGAAAGCTAGAAGAGGGGTTCAGGTCCCCAAATCTGGAGTTCAAGAAAGTTGTTAGCTGTGACGTGGGTGCTGCCTGATCTTACTGTAAAAGCCGATTTCTCCATTCTTTAATTCAACACGTGGGGCCCAGAGAGAAGCGAGATGCTAGCCGTTTCCTGGTATGGCAAGCGTTCCTTCTCACAGTGCAGCTCACGCCTTCTGCTCGCCCCATGGCTTCTCCGGCGTTCCCGTTCCTCTTCTATCACGGTTGTGGTCACCTGAGTCTCACCCAGAGCTCTGCCGTCCGCTCATCCCAAACACTTGGCCCAACTCGGAAGCAATCTAAGGAAGTAGCTTTTTCCTCCTTCCATTTTTGCCTGTCTTCTCACATTTACGTTCAAGGTCATTTCCAAGGATCCCAAGGTCTTGCGGGGTGTGTAGAAAATTTGTGGGGAGCGTGTACAAAGTCCTCCAAAGGAGTGACAGTGGGGCCGAGTTTGAAGAAATGCTAGTTCCGAAAACACCCTCATAGAACTGTCTACACCCACCCGCGCCCTAAAGCTGATTCATCTTCTTGTCGGCTCTCTAGCGCTATCTTGTGTCTTCTTCCTAAACAGCTACCAAAAGGCGGTTTTTTTTAAGCATTTCTAAAGTTTTACAGACGTTGAGGGCGACCTCCGCAGCTCTGAAGAAGCCACTGCCACTGCATGCCTGAAAATCAGTCCCCACCTACAAGATGGCACGATCTGCGGCAGAGATGCTGCCCAGAAACAGACAGCCTCTTCTTCCGCTCCTTCTCCCGAGGCTTTTCCTTCAGAGTTCAAGCCTCAGGAGGGCAGAAGGGGGTGCGCGGGGGAGGGGAGAGGAGGGGAGGGGATGGGAGGGGAGGGGAGAGGAGAGGAGAGGAGAGGGGAGGAGAGGGGAGAAAGAGGGGGAGGGGTGATGGTGGACTGAGGAAGGTGGGCTTTGCCTAACATCCTATGACTTCCGTCCCTAGCTGCTTTCAAGCGCAGCAGCCCCACGCCACTTCTGCCCAAGTCCACCCGAGTCACCTAGAGATTCTAGACCGCTGAGGCTGCAAAGCTCACAGCCGCTCCAGCCCGCGAACCGCCTAGGCTAGGCTCCAGCGCTACCCTGGAGTGCTACCCGCAGTGGCGCGGACCCGCAGAGGAAATGCTGGTCCTCAGGTTCCCCGTACGCTAGTAAGGGTACACAGCCTGAGCCAGCGTTGGCTCAGCTGAGGTTTGCAGAGGTGGGAAGGGTGACGAGAGTGGATTGGCGGAGTGTGGGGGGCGGCAATGAAGGGGGAGACTGAAGAGATAGATAGCTCCCCAGTTAATAGCCCTGGCTCTTCTTCCAGAGGTCTAGGTCCGATTCCCAGCATCCACACGGTAGCTCTCAACTATCCACCTTCTCCCTGACTGCCCCGGCACCAGGGTTGAGGTTTGCACAGACAAGTGAAATGTCCATAAGTTAAAAAAGAAAAAAAAAAAAGAAAAAGGAAAAAAAGAAAAAGAAAAAGAAAGAAAAGAAAAGAAAAGAAACAAAAAACCCACAAAGCCAAGTGTAATGGCACATGCCTTTGTACCAGAACTGAAGACGCAGAGGAGGGAGCTCTCTGAGTTTGTGGCCAACCTGATCTATGTGGCAAGGTCGAAGCCAGCCCAGCCACGTACTGAGACCCTGGCTTAGGAAGGAAGGAGTTACAAAGAAAGAAAATAATTGGAGCGTGATGCAGTTTCTAGGTGTGCAACCTCTTGCTAACCCATTTTCCTTCACACTATAATATAGAACACTCTCATTTAATTCCTTTGCATTTCAAACAAAAACTGTTGTCTTGTGTTGCATTATTGAAACAGTCTCCAAGTCTATACAGCAGAGAAAGACCATGCATTTTAGAAATTCTTCTGCCTCCTTCCCTCCTGACAGCTAGAGTAACCACGTTCGTCATTGTGCCTGGTTTATGCAAGGCTACGGATTGAACTTTATACGTGCTAGCAAGCACTCTGCCAAACCACCCCCGAGAAACCCTGTATAAGATCTGTACCCTCTTCAGTGTGCTGCTGCTGCTCACACTGGAGGCAGCCACTCTCCTGGATTCTTCCTTCCTAATAAACCTCTTGAGTGAGGTTTGTTGTGCAGTGTGCCATTTTTGCCAAGCAGAGCCCAGCTGTAACCACTTTGGCCAGAACCAGAGCAGAGCAGGACTGTAACATTTTTGCTAGGGACACTTTCCCTGAGTGGAGCAGAGCTGTTACACTCCAGGGGTCCTGAGCAGAGCTATAACACTTTGCTGGAGAAACCCTCCCATGTAGAAACCCTCCTCCTTTCCCTACGGCAGAGCTGTAAGATACTACACTTAAAATAACTTTGTGGTTTTCCTTGACTGCCAAGATACCTTTCCATCCGAGCTGCAACCCTTACAGAAACCAGAACACCCTTTTACTGCTTTTAAATCTCCAGGTCTCTGAAGAATGTGTTTCAAGCCGTGAGTTCAATGCCCAGCACTGAAAAGAAAACTTTGATTTTTCTACGCTCACATCGCAGTGTGATTTGAGCACTTACCCAACTCCTTGCAGAATGAAAGTAGCAAATACATCCCTTGGTTGGCACTGTTGTGTGCCGTGGGATGTTTGCTTCTGTTGGAGGAGCCCTACCTAGCTTGATGGCTTGCCAGCCTTGTCCTGCTTTTTAGAGACTGGCTTGTTATTTTTAGTTGGGTGGCTTGGGGCTATAGAAGGCAGTAAGTTAGATGGGGAAAAGTGCCTGGGAATCCCATGTCCTTTATCACTCCTCCCTGTCGCCTACTCTCCCAGAGGACTCTTCTCCAGTGCCATGGAATATTCCTGTGACCCCTGAACTTGCCACCATGGAGACTGAGAGTCCTAAGGTTCTGTTGCTCTGACAACCCATTGTCAGAGCAGTGTCTGCATCAGAGCTGCCAAGGTTCTGGGAGAAAGACGCCTGAAGAAGGGTCACAGTTGTTGGTTTCGTAGACGCTCAGCTATGACTAGCCTTTCTGTGTTTAGGGACGTACCCCCAGCCCAGAAGCTGGAAGGCAGCTTACTAAAGATCTACAAGCAAGACAATTATTCTAGCAAGATGTTCCTGGCCTACAGAGGTAGGAGCCAGTCATTTCAGGTCTTAAGATTTTCTTCATATTTTTGACTGACTGTAAATGGGCAGTGCCCCCAGTGGAGGAATGAAGAATAGCCCATGCCTCTGCAGTTGGAAAGGGTTTTAGTTTATTAACAGAACTGTCCAGAGCATAGAAGAGCAGTGAGGGTTCCAAGTCACCCTATGCCCTGGGCCCTTTGCTGGGGACTTCTGGGAATTTGGGAGGAGCCATCTTCTTTCTCCTCCCGCCTTTTCTTTATCTGCCACTGTAACCTCCCTCTCTCTTTTGTTTGTTTTTGGTCCACGTAAATCAGGCTGGCTTTGAACTCACAATATAGCTGAAAAAGACCTTGAGCATTTTCCTCCGGCCTCCACCTCCCAAGTCCTGGAGGCACCACTACACTTTGCTTTTCTCTAATTCTTCTGTTGTTTTTCATTTATCTATTTGTTTGTTTTAATTTTTTAACTATATGTGGGTGTATGAGAGAGAAGAATGTGTGTGTGTGTGCACGTGTGCACATGTACATGAGTGTAAGTGTACAAGGTGGCCAGAGGCATTGAACCCCCCAGAGATGGCATTACAGGTGTTGATGAGCTACCTGGTGTAAGCGCTGAGAACTGAACTTGAGTTCCCTTCAAGGACTAATATGTCCTTAACCACTGAACTATCTTCCCTCCCAGGGCTCTTCTTCTTGAATCCAAAAATTAAGCCTTCTGGGGTGGGGGGTGGGGGATGCTTGCCTGGCATTCCTGAAGCCCTTCAGTCAATCCCTAGCCAATAAACCAGGTGTGGCACGTACCTGTAATCCCCGCACCTGAGGGGTGTAAGATCAGACGTTCAAAGTCATTTTCAGTTACAAAGCAAGTTCAAGGCAGCCTGTGAGGCCTGCTACTAGAGAGAGGGAGAGGACAAGGAAAGTAGACAGACAGACAAACAGACAGACACAGAGAAAGAAACACAGAAAAGGAGAAAGGCAGACACAGAGAGCCCTTCTTAATATGGAGTCACGCCTCGCCATCATTAAAGCCAGGGCATATATTTTGTTTAACTTCTTGAATGTCTGATTAATTTTGTATGTAAATTGTAACCTTTAAAATGCATAGGTTTCAGCTGCCTTTGTTGTGTTCTGTTTTGTTTGTGGTTTTTGTTTTTGAGACAGTGTCTTGCTATATAGCTCAGGCTGGCCTGAAACTCACTATGGACAAGGCTGGCCTCAAAATGATCTTCCTGCCACCCCTCCTCAATGCTGGGGTGACAAGTATGGGCCATCAGGCCTGTCTTCGCTGAGGTTCTTGTTGGTGGTAGTGGTGTTTTGTTTTTAAACACAGTCACTAACAGCGCACTGTTTTATAAAAATAAAGAAGCCAGAAAGGCAGCGGGGCGGGGGGGGGATGAGGGGGGTAAGTTTAAGCTTTCATGGGTACTTTTCAAAGCACAAGCCAGACTTGTGGTTTATGAGCTTCTGCCAAGCCCAGCCCCAGAGACCCTGAGGTCGGGCATCCAGAATTCCCTTTGAAGTTTCTCCACAGTCTGCATGACCGATGAAGGCCATCCCTGGGTTTCTCTTGTGGTGCACAAGACTCGCCTGAAGATTGCACAGGACCCTTCTCTGAACTATGAGTACTTGCCCCTGTTGGGCATGAAATCATTCATCCAAGCCGCCTTGGAACTCCTCTTTGGAAAGCACAGCCAAGCCATTGCAGAGAAAAGGGTGAGACACCGAGAGAAGACAGACCCAGGGCTGTGCGGCATCTCAGGGGCCTCCACCTTGACAAAGGCGGTTTTCCCGAGACTCCGAGCATCCATAGCTTTTGCATGGGGAAGCAGAGCTGGGATCCAAACCTATTTCCTCATTCAGACACTCAGTTGCACCCACTCACACTGCTGATTTAAAACCTGTAAATAGATCATTTTAATATAAAAGAGAAAAGGAAGGAAGAAGAGTGGAATGCTCAGTGTGTATAAGGCCCTCAGTTCAATCCTAGCATCCAAAAGAATTAAAGTCTGAGTCTGCAATGGGCTAGTGTTGCCGCAGCTCCTGTGAAACGTGCCTTTCGTGTATCGCTCACTGACAGGTAGGGGGTGTGCACACTATTGGTGACAGTGGGGCCTTCCAGCTTGGGGCCCAGTTTCTCAGGATGTGGCGGAAGAATTTGAAAAACGTCTGTATCGTCTCGTGCCAAAAGGGTGAGTGTTGCCAACTCCCGCCTTGTGTGGAATCTCCACTCTTGCCCTCACTTTCCGGCCGGAGAAAAATGGTGGCTGTGCCAAGCTATGCCCGTCCTTTTCCTGTTGCTGTCCTCCCGTCGGTCAGTCACCCTCACCCTGCTCTCTGGTGTCTCTGCCTGTCTCTCCATTTCCACGGACCCCAGCTGGTAGGGGTCTGTGTTCCCACAGAACAGTACGGACTCATCTTCCAGGACATGGGTTTCACAGTCTATGAATACTCCATCTGGAACCCCAAGGAGCTGTGCTCAGACACCAACATATTCTTCGACGTGATGGAGGTAAAGGGGTCCCCACTCAGAATCTTCTCCCTCTATCCACCTGGTTTGTGGTCCCTCCCTCGCTCGAGGCCCTTGCTGAGCTTGGACTGGCCAGGTTTTCTGGTGAGAACAAACCTACGAGAGTATTTCCCCTCTAACCGCCTGGTGTCACCTCCGTACTGTGAGAGGTGGTGCCTTGACAAGACAGTGTCTTTCTACAGCATATCCCAGCTGACAGTATCCTTGTGATTGGGAACATCATTGACTGCAGGCTCACACAGAATCAGTGGAAAAAGCTGATGTCCATCATTAAGGTCAGCCCAGCTCCCGGCCACGTATTCCCTCCTCTCACCTCTACTCTCCCCCCCAGCAGCAGCCTCCTGCTTCCGGGTTCTCTTTTCGGTTTCAGAGCAAGCAGCTCTTCCCGTTCTTCGACATTGCCTGCCAAGGTCTGTCCACTGGCGACCTGGAAGAAGACACCAGGCTCTTACAGTACTTTGTGTCTCTGGGGTTTGAGTTCTTCTGCAGCCAGTCTCTGTCAAAGAATTTTGGCATTTATGGTATGATATGGGCAGAAGGATAAGAGAAATGGGGAACAAAATTGTTGCCATATCCATTGCACAAGTGTTGTGTGTGTGTGTGTGTGTGTGTGAGAGAGAGAGAGAGAGAGAGCTTACAAAATAGGTTTTTAATAATGTTTTCTGTGTGTGTGTTTGTCTCTGTACTTCTGTCTCTCTGTCTGTCTCTGTCTCTCTCTCTCTGTCTCTGACTCTGTCTCTCTCTCTCCCTCAAACACACACATACACACACCAGACACTGTACTTTCTCATATTTTCCCCACTGTCTTCCCCTACCCCCCCCAAAGGATAGATGTTTTTTATATCACTTATCCCCTGGAAGGAGCCTAGTAGTCCCAAAAAGTCACAGTGTGGGCGAAAAAGAGCACCCGTGAGCTAGAAGTCGGGCTCTGTGACTGAACACAGATTACCCAAGACACCCACACCTGTTCTTTCTAGTTAAAATTTCACCCTCTCAGGCCTCTGCCTCCTTGGCTGGAAGCTGAGGAGGTACTGAGCAAATCTTTCCAGTTCTCTCCTCACACACTCTTGCTTATGGATACTCTTTCTGCAAAAAAGAGACTCGGGGTTTCTGGAGCCAAACGCTAGCCTGACTGGGCTGAGCTGGTGACGCCACAGCTTAGCCCTTCTCCCTACAAGGTCGGAGGGAGAGGGGTAGTGAGGTTCCGACTGCGAGAGTAAGGCTGTCTTGTCAACGCTGCAGATGAAGGAGTGGGGATCCTAGTCGTGGCAGCCCTCAGCAACCAGGATCTACTGTGTGTCCTCTCCCAGCTGATGAACTACGTTGGGGCTCTATGGGGGAACCCTCCCGCCACAGGCGCCCGGATAATCACTTCCGTCCTCTGCAACCCTGCTCTGTTTGGAGAATGGTACGGGGTGGGAGGGTCTGGGCAAGGGAGGGTGCTAGGGCTCCTACAGACTGACCGTTCAAGAGACTCACTTGGGTCATTTTTCTACTTTGTGGTCTCTTTATCCCACTCATTCGTGCACACATTCATCAAATTTCACTGAGGCCCTCTGTGTGCCATGGCTCTAGCTACCTCAAGGATGACGCTGCCTTGTAGGAGCAGACACCTGTTTTGGGAGATAAGCCAATGAGTTAGTTATCTAAATACTTCGAGACTGCTTGAGATGAAACCCGTTGTTTTGTACACAAGCGCACACACGAGAGAGAGAGAGAGAGAGAGAGAGAGAGAGAGAGAGAGAGAGAGCTGAGCCTGCTACATTGTTCAGAAGGTAAAGGTACTTGCTGCCAAGACTGATGAGCTCAAGGCCTGATGATTCCCAAAACTCATATGAGGTTAAGAGCACCAGCTTCTCTTCCAGAGGTCTTGAATTCAATTCCCAGCAACCACATAGTGGCTCACAACCATTGATAATGAGATCTGGTGCCCTCTTCTGGTGTGTGCATGTTAACAGAATATAGTATGCATAATAAATCTTTTTAAAAAATAAAAAATAAATAAAACTAAGATGGCAAAATCTGGGAGTCTACTTCGCTTGCTTAAATTAATATGGGGCCTGGGTTTCTCCCCAGGAAAAGCAAGGTTTTGTGTTCACTTTCGGTTTAGGAAGTTCAGTTGACAGTATCCCTTGATCCTATGGTGAGGCAATGCACGATGGTATAGTTTGGGGTAACAAACGTTCACTTTATGATGTCCAGAAGGCAAACAGAGGTAAAGAGCCATCCACCCCTCAATGAGCTAACATCCTCCCACAACCAATAGTGGCAGGGCCTTTAACACACAGGCCTTTGGGAGATTTTTAAGACCCAGACAACAGCAGAGTCGGACCTCCTTCGACCACTGGTGCCGCAGAACTCGGGTTCCAGCCATGCGCTCCCTGGCATGTAGGAAGAGGGAAGGAAGACATGTTGGGCAACAAGGAGACCTCTCCGACCCATTTCTTGCTTCTTTCATTGGCAGGAAACTCAGTCTGAAAGGTGTTGTGGAGAACGTCATGTTGGTCAAGGAGAAGGTGAAGGAGAAGCTCCGACTCCTGGGGACCCCTGGGTCCTGGAATCACATCACCAAACAGAGTGGGACCCACGGTTATCTAGGGCTCAACTGTAAGTTCCAGAACGGGGTGACCCTCCCCTTCCTGACCTCAGACCTGTGTCTTAACATGGAGCAGCCCTGACTGGCTGATCAGTCTGCAATTTGCTCTGGGCTTTCCTCCCACCCCTGGACAAGTGGGGCTGCTGCAGAGAACTTTATGGGTTGCCCACAAATGATACTTCTTATCCTATAATTCTGCCTGGGCTTGAGAGGAAGTCTGAGTCCTGTGACTGTCACAGACCCGCAGGTGGAGTTCTTGACTAAGAAGAAGCACATCTACATCCCCAAGAGCAGCCGGATCAACTTCACCTGCATCAACGCCAGGAACATAGACTACATCACGCAGAGCATCCATGAGGCAGTGATGCTCACCGAGGGCTGAGGGGGCTGTCTTCTCAAAGACGTCCCGATTGAAATGGAAATTTAGGTAGTCTTTGAAAATAAATTACTGAATTAATTATTCATTACTGTGCTTTATTTTTTTTTTGTTTATTTATGAAGCATGTGCTGGCCTGGGCGGGGAGGGGCTTCAGTGCAACACGTGCCAAGCGTACATGGAGCCCTGGATTCCATCTCCAGGAGATTGGGGGTGGGGTGCAAGAACAATTACCCTCATAGGATACGGTTCAGTTTGTAACCATGTGACGAGTAACAAAGTGAATAGAAGTTGGTACGTTTTAAGGGGTGTGTTTGTGGGACACACACACACACACACACGTGTGCACATGTGTACACTCTTTCAACTGAGTGCAGCTGTATACATTCATCTGGTGTTTCTTCCAGACACACAAGCCAAGTTGTGTTCAAGTAGTTCCCTGATAGGCCAATCATGTTTGGGAAATCAAAATCCTAACCAAAATGACTGTATAAAGACTTAAAATTACTTTACCGGAATTAATTTTGAAAGAGATCAAAGCTGAATGACTGTTGGCAGACTTCTTTGGGCCACCAACTCACAGAAAACAACTCAGAGATGACTTATTAATTATGAAAGTTCAGCCAATTGCTTAGGTTTATTACTAACTAGCTTACAACTTAAATTAACCCATTTCTATCAGTCTGTGTGTTTTCATGTGACTTGTGACTTTACCTCTCCTCAGCATGGTATATTCATCTTGCTGCCCTCCACATCTCCTGGGGCCCTCCTCCTTCCCAACATCCTCTGTGTCTGAAAATCCTGCCTAACTATTGACCACTTTTTATTAAACCAATGAGAGCAACATATTCTCACAGCGTACAAATATTCTGTAATAAATAACTGTCTTAATTACCATTTTATTGCTGTGAACAGACACCATAACCAAGGCAAATTAGAAAGCATTTATTTGGGAGGTGTTTGCTATTTCAAAGGGCTATTGCATGACCATTATGGCAGGCGGGCAAGGTACTGGAGCAGTGGCTGGGAGCTTATATCCTGATCCACAAATAGGAAGGAGAGAGAGAGAGAGAGAGAGAGAGAGAGAGAGAGAGAGAGAGA